GGTGTGTGTGGAGGGGTCCTGATGGGAAGCGGGCGCATCGGTCTCAACGGATGCGGGTTCCCAGGCGTTGTGAGTGATGTGAACTGTATGTCAATCACTGGTGGTTGATCACTAGCACCACCGGGTGACCCGAGTGCCACAGAACTGTCGCCGGAAAGAGACGCGGCTGCGCTGGCCATGGACTAAGTGAGATGAGTGAATTATGCGCGTATACGTGCGATAGAGGGGCTGGAAATAGGAGGTACAAGAGAGGTGTGAAAGTGGCTCAACCACTTTCGTAGGAGTCAAGTCAGGTGCTGCCAGGAAGTCCGGGACCCGACGGCGACGTCACTTCGATGTTAAGCAGGTCACGTGGACGCGTCACGTTAGCGCCTCGGCTCGGACGCGTCAAGTTCCCCTTGTTCCTTTACCACCACGTACAACAGCACCCTTCCCTAAATTGATTCACTTCAAGGTCAAGGCATACATGAGCGGCACTAATCTGCGACAAAGCCTCTTTTCAAGCGACCCCGCGGATGATTTACGTTCGGGGTTGTCCGGCAACAATTCCAGGGTCAACCTTGGTCGCTCTATGCATATCCCGAAGGAGCTTTTCTCGCGCGCTCAAGGACTAGACTTGCACAAACAGCACTTGGGGCTCGACCAAACTTCCTTGGAGTCTATACAACACGCCCGTCAAAGTGATTCTCAGCGTAGCCGTCTTGCTCTCAGCTCTAGGTTCTTGTCTCCGAAGTCTCCGGGCGAGCTAAGCTCTGATCGAAGCCGCGAAGCGGATAGCTCTGGGACAGCAAAGGCGTCTATCCTACCTGACACTTTGGATCACTCTCATGCATCTGGCGGTGACTTTTTGTGTAGCTCGAACATTACTACTTCGAATCGTACGCAACATGGGAAGGAAACGTCCAAGTTACGCCCATTCTCTCAGACCAAACCTGGCAAGAGTTTGCGTCAACGTCTTGATGCAGGTGTGGCATTGGCTGCTGCCTATTTGCGTCCACTCAACAGGGTCACAGAAGAGCCTCGCGAGCCTCCGCCTTACTTTTCCGTTCTGCCCTCTGGAGATGCTGCTTCTAGCTCGGCTTTCACTGCCCCCGAGAACTTGACTCCTCGCCCGCATTCAAGGAGTGTCTCTGTTCTCAGCTCTGCCCATGGAATACAAGACGATGACATCTCGACTCTGATGATGCGGGGTGCGACAGATCTCAGGAATGCGAAATACGAGATTGAAGAACAAGTACGTGACACGATTATTTGGCGCATATAGTCTCTCATCTTGGATTCTAGCGACGGGAGATCACTTTTCTGCAAGAGCAAGTGGAATCCGTTCGCAAGGAGAAGGACGAGTTAGCCCAGCGACTCAAGGCGGTCAAGGAAGCTGCGAAGCAAAGTTTACAATCCAGTACGAAAAGGTGGATGCTGGTGGTGCTCATTACAGTCAGTCAAGCTAACTGCATATATGCCAGCTTGGAGACGCTGCGTACTGCCGTTAGCGAGCTGAAGATGCAATCTGAGTCGTGTCTCAGTGTAGCTACTGACGCGCGTGGTTCTCTCGCAGACGTGCAAGAATTGCGAAATACCATCTCGGAGGCGATGAAAAGTGAGCCACAGTGCGTCTCCTGCTTCAGACAATCTCATGTGGGACGTATAGGCATTGAACCATACCTGGAGCCAAACGACAAATGGGCGAAGTCGGCAGTGGCGAGGGATCTGATGAACGACCTTGAGCTGGAGTGCTCCAAAAGTGAGTGCCGACCAGCTGCGTCGCTGGTGCGAGAATAACAATCGTGTCTAGGTCAACAAGTTGCAGATCTTCTGCGCGACCGTCTTCAATCCGTAGGAGGGGAACTGGTCGACGCGAAGAGCCGCATCGCCGAGCTCGAGATTGCTCAGGGTCAAGATCGTGCTGCTCTGAGTAAGTCCAACGCCACCATAGCCGACACCTGTGAGTGCCCAGTCACCCTGGACCCATTTTTCGAAGACTTCATCTCTTCATGCAGCCAAGGATATATCCTCGCTGGCTGAATGCTTGAAGCGACAGCAAAATGAAATGTACGAGGTGCTCGTTGCCTCAGCGGACTCCGAAGCAAAGCTGGCTACTGTCACTCAAAGGTGGGTTTTGGCGTCTCGGAGCGTGGACGGGAACGAAGCCAATGTCTTCTCTTATTTCTAGGGCGGTGGATCTGCAACAGCTTGTCGCAGAGAGGGACATCAAAGTCGACTCTCTCAAGACCGTTCAGGTTGAGTAGGTCTATGTTTCTTCCATAGTATTTGCCCAGCTTAACGATACCATGCAAGGAATTCGCGACTTCGCCATGTCATCGAAGAGAAGGATTCCTGTATCACCTCTCTTCGTAACCAACAAGACCAGTACGCAAGTGTTTGCTGTGTCGTTCAGTATGCTAATGGTATCTTGTAGAATAGCCCAGCTGAACAAAACTCTCCTTGAACGAGAGGCAAGTGTAATAGAACTAACCGCCTCCAACTCCATGAAAGACTCCCGTATATCAGAGGGTATTGAGAGGTAGGTTGAATCTATAATACCGCATACTTGCTCACTGTGACTTTAGAATCAAGTATCTTGAGGATAATCTCTCAGTCGCAAACCGCGCAATTCAAGATGCGAAGAGCGAATTAAGTGCGAGCAAGGTTAAAGGACAGGCGGTATCCAACGACAACGAGAGGTTGCTGAGAGAACAACATGTGTTACAACAGCGAGTTGCTGAGCTGGAGGCTGCTCTCAGCGAAGGTCGTCTGGAACTAGAGACCATGTCTACCAAGTGCGAATCCCTAGAATCTCGCTCGCGCACGTTCTAAATTTTCGTCGTTACAGATTACAACAAGCCAATGCACGATGTCAGGTAGGTTGATATCACTTCGCTCGGATCTGCCATACGTTTAAGAACCGTCCTTAGACGCTGGAGGACCGTTTCGAGGACCAGTCCGTCATGTTGAGACTGACTCGAGAATCTGTGGGAGATGCACAGGTTAGCATCATTACTACCGTGCTATCAGCCACTTACATCACCCAGGAACGATTGCTCGCGGCAGAGACAACGCACGCGGTAATACACCGTGCTCAACTAGATTCATTGTTGCTGATGCGGCATTAGAAACTTCTTGCTGAAGTTACGGGGAACATGGAGCGCGACGTTTCCGTGCTGGAAGAGCAGAAGCTGGGGTTGCAGGCTGCTTTGGATCTCGTCAAGGAGGCACTCAAGCGCCAGGAGGCATCCGCGCTGGTCATGCAGGAAGAGCACAGGGACCGGTTGAATCAGCAAGAATCAACCTTCAACGCACGCCTCCAGTCTGAACAGGAACGATCTATGCGACTCAGTGGCGACATAGAAGAATCTCGTACTCGGCTGAAATCGTCCGAAGAACGTAACAAGGTCTTTGAAGATGAGATTCAGGATCTACGCAAGCAGCTGCAAGCCGCACATCTGCCGTCACCAGAGATGGAGGCGCAATTGCGAGCGCTCAGATCTCGATTAACCACTCTAGAGGCCGCAGAAATGAAGAGCACGCTGAGAGCAAAAACCATCGACGCCCGGTATCGCATCGGAGACCTAGTACGTGCACAACATACACAGTTTGGGTTGGGGAACGTCACTCAGAATTGTTTAGAGTGACGAGGAGAAGGCATTTATCAACACCTTGATCCAGACGTCACAGTCCATTCACGAGCAGGAGCTAGTTACGAACCGCAACGAACTTCGCCGTGTTAGCAGTTCCCGTTATGGCCACGAGGTTCCTCTTAACGCTGACGGTGCTGGCAGCGTGATAATGCCCTCAAGGAGATGCGCTCTAAGATCCACCTTTTAGAGTCCACCTTGGCGAAGCATCTCAATGCCCCGGTTATAGTGCCTTTTCTCAATCGTACTCTCACATACTCATTGAGTATCCCCTCTCATAGAAAGCTAAACCGATACCCGCACCTATTGACAACAGATCAATGATCGATCCTACCGCTTGGATGTCGCAGTCGGGCCATAGTAGCTCTCCGGTTCAAGCTCCAGATAGAGATGGAACAGTGGTGCGTTGATCGTTGCGGTTTGTCCGCGAATGAACGAGACTTAGGCGCGTCCGCCCGGATCCTTCAAGTCTACGAATGTTGATATTACTGTCTCTGCAAAGCCGACACCTGCTCCGCACCGTCCCCATCCCCCTACTACCGCTAATCACCCCTTGCCAGTTCATATGGTCCAGGCGGGACAGGCAGCTGTGCAGATGCATCCGCCTCAGGAAGCGCCTCGTAATGAAACCGGACAAGATTTGACTAAGCCCAGATTCAGCAGACTTGCAACCGACTGTTCCGATGAGAACCTCGACTTCGATGACGAAGACAATGGCAAGAAGCCCTCACCCTCTTCCCTCGGCAAGCGCTCTGACCCGGATTCTCCGCCGAAGCCCACTGCGGAGTATGGTGCTCCAAAGCCATTCAAGCGCTTGGTAGGGTAAACGTTGTCTACGAGACGAGTGGCACCCTGATCTGCGCATGCCATTCAGAGGGGCTCGACACGCAGGTTGGAGACAACAGATGTTGGACAACCGGTTGGACAAAAGAAGGTAAGTGTGATCTCGAGAAGCACGAAAGTAACTAGCATGACCTATCGTTACAGACTCTCCAGCCTAGTGGCTCTAAGAGTAGAGCCAGGAAGCGTCGTTGATGCAGCCCTGCATGTCTAGTACTATCCATTTGTGCCTGTTTCGTTGCATTCTCTCCATCTGTTATATTCATGAACTTCAATGTGAACATACATGGCATCACTACGTTACTCTCGTCGATCGTCTCGCTGAGGAACTTGTTTTCCTCGATTGGCAGGCGTGGTGTAGATTAGCTAAACAACGTGACTGGTGGTAGTAAGATGGTAATCGTATCCGTGGTGTAACAAGCAGTCAGCAACAATTGCAGCGAACGATCACAGTTCATGCATAAGAAGTGTTATTGACATGACACCAGCGTGTACGTTGTGTATGCTCTACGTCGACGATAAAATATGTGAGTCGGCCCAGGATCGAACTGAGGACCTTCTGTGTACTATGTCTGTTAGACAGATGCGATAACCAACTACGCCACCGACCCATATAAACGTAGGCATTAATATAAGGATTTAATAATGTCGAGAGTTTTGGCCACACTGACAACATAAAGCAAGCTTACATAGTACTACAAGTAGATACCATCGTCCAAGTCTGCTGCCGGGTGAGACTGTTGTTCTGTACGCCTACCAGTATCTGTTCTGTTTGGTGACCCTGAAACTATGAGTTGCTCAGGCTGTGTTCGAGTAGCGGGTGTGTCTCCATCATGTGACTCATGTCGAGGTTGTAAGTTGTAGTGAGCACTCATGGGAACTCCTTTTTCTGCCAACACCGTTTGCAACATGCTGATCCTTTCGTTCTGTGAGCCACTATATGATGCTCTGTTCTTAGCGGTGACGAAGGCATTCGAAATCTGCGGAGAACGCACATCACGAGCTCGTTTTCCTCGAATGCCTGAGTCAGGTCGATGTCACCCGTAGATGTCGTCAGTGCGTCCTTGAGCTCGTCCTGCGTCCTGCGTAGGTGCGCGAGGGAATTCTGCAGGCGCGATATCTCTGGCGCAACGGACAAATCAGCCATCTCGATCTGCGCCTTCACGTCGGCAAGAAGAGATAGCGTACTAGTGCTACACACCTTCGGCAATGATTGGTACAGCCAACTGCCTCGCCTCGTCCAACGTGAACGGCTGGGAGTATCGCGGCTTGTATTCCATGGCGACAGCACAAAGAATACTGGTCGGCTGATAGCAGTCGGGCGTACAGGAGTGGTTCTAGACGGGAAGATGTTTCGGTGCAGGACGGTCGCAGATTATGTAACAAATGTACGCATGTGTACGGACGCTGTTTATATACCAAAGAGTGATGTCACGCCGGTCACGGGAGGTTCCGTTCTCATTAGTATACTCCGGACTAATATGTGAGGTAGAGGATACAATGCGTGGTAATCGGGGTGGTAATCAGTAACGGCTCTAAATGTCATGGATGGTCCGGATAAAAACGACAGCAAGATGAAAAGCAATTATACGCCCAACCTGTGCCGTGCCGTCAGTCATCCGCACCGTATGCATACACAATGGAATCAGGGTACTCACTTCGACTTGCTTGATTCATACACAACATACGATATAGAGACAGCAGGGACCACCTGGTGGGTTCCCAGGAATAGCGGTTCGTCAGCACGCATTTTTGATACACACGACTACCACGACAGCGCACCTTCGCTAATGTAGGTAATAGGCCTCGATAGAATCCACGCCATCCTTCTCTCGAGTACGTCTTACGTACGACATCGAACATACCGGTATATCGCTCTGGATGTCCTGACGACCCAGAGGCCTGCAAACGCGTTCTAACGAGATTGAGGGGGTATACGCTTGTAGCTCCGACGCTCCCTGAAACGCTGCCAAACGCTAGCAACGCGAGGACACCCGGCTCCTCCTTGCCTGATGATCGCAAGTAGGCCAGCTTCAGCGCCTCAAAAGTGCTCATGTCAATGGCGGAGTACCTGCGGTGATTGGGTGAGCGCATTGAATTGAACCACATACATGCGCCTTACGGGAAGACACCAATGAGGCCGATCTGCCGTTAAGTGGCGTCAGCAAATGTTGGAGAACGAGGCAAAGAAACTACAACTTACAGTGAGACCCCTGTAAAAAGCCCTCATACCACCAAGCTGCCACACACGTGTGGCTGCTTCTCGGAGTGTTCGTCGTTGCCCGCCCGCGCTACTCATCATTTGTGTCTAGGCAAATCGTTAAGCCCGTTATCCTAAGCTACATCAAATATTCGTCACACCTTGAGGGTTTCAATGGGGTATATGGCTACCGCCAGATCAATGCATGTCAAGAGACAGAGACGCATGTTCCACTCACAAAGCTGACTAGAGATACCGCCTAACCCACCCGAGAGAAAACGACTGACGCCACTGATGTCCCGCGGATCGTCGACTTTGTCCCAGTACTTCGCAAACATGCGTTTCTGTGCAGGAAACATGTTGGATAGACAACATAGCGACTACGAGAGACACTGACAGATGATTCATATGTGAGGAACTTGATTGCGGACTCGGGAAGAATTTTCGCCACCGAGAGCCCATTACCCGTCCAGAACGCAAGGACACCACCTTCGGAGTATATCCGGGCGATGGCGTTGCCTATTACCTTGACACCTCCGACTGGTGTCTGAGCAGTGAGTGATGTCCCTCCAAGCTCCGGTGGTCGTGTTATCAAGAAGATTTTCAGCCTGTCAAATGGTGCCGTACACGTTCGTGATACTAAAAGAAGTCATCAAAATGCGCCTCACATGTAGCGAGAGAGCTTACCTGCTCCAGCAACACCGCCCGCAAGGAGGAATTTAACTGCAGTTGACCCTCCAAGCCAACTGTGATGCGGTTCCTCCTCCTCATCATAGTCACCGTCGTCGTCATCGTCGCCGTAAGGCGATTGATGGTCTAGGGGTATCGGCTCGACGTCTTTTGACGAAGTGACATGAAGTTGCCCTACGAGCAAGTCTTCGGCGCTGAGACTCACATCACCTGAAACGTTGGGTTTAGCTGACCTTCGTTTGCCACATTGTCTCAGTAGAATACCTTCCATAGTGACGCGGGCGGCGCCTCTCCCATCGTCACCCATGAACTTCTTGACCTCGTAATACCGGAATATCTCTTCCGGCGATGCTTTCCGGGGCATAAGGAGGAGGAAGTCTCGGAACTCCTCGAAGCTTATCGCGTGCGAATGCGGCGAGGATGTGAGGAACGCGATAAAATCGGACAGAGTCGAGGAGGAAAGTTTGATGCCTGACATCACCAGCTCAACGGAGAGAACGATATGTACAGGTTGAACGCACATACCAGCTTTCTCCAGCGCGAGTTGCAACTCGTCTGCTTCCAGATGGCCGTTGCCATCCAGGTCAAGTTCGTCGTGGAATATATGCCACAGCTCTGTGCGTTTTCAGCGACACGGTCGGCACACTCTTGCACGGACCGACGCACCTGTTTCCTTCGCTTCCGCATACTTCTCAAACTCAGGCCAAGACACGCGTCGCGAGAAGGGCCCACGCGTGCACCGACCGAGAAGCTCATCCTCGTACATCTCGTCCAGCTCCCGCGCGCTCTCTGCGGTGAGGTCGCCGTCCCGTTTGACCGGGTGCGCCCGCGCGACGGCCTCGTCATCAGCGAGATGGTGTTCGTCCTGCCTTGGCAGACGGGACCACAGCGCACGGAGTCGTTTGCGCCTGCTCTCTTCGCCCTCTTGCGCGCGGAACTCCCGGAGGCTGTGGGGAATGGGAGTGAAGGTGGGCGGGTCGGAGCGTAGACGTGGGATGAGCGGTGGGGGACGGGCGCCCGAGAGGGTCTCTTCATATATCTGTCGAGCAGAGGGCCTCCTCTGGTCGTCCTGGACCCCCATCTGGGAGAATTGTGTGGCTGGTCGAATGGACGGAGCGAGAGATAGCGCGTAGACGCGTCAAGCCTGAGATGAGATGACGGAGCGCACGGATATGTGGGACGGGTGCCGGTCTCCGGATGCGGATTGTATACAAGATGAGAAGTATCAGGGTAGATGCATAGCAAGTGATAACAAACAGGAGCACGTTGGGCCGCACAGGGCCGAGCAGGGTCGGGAGAGAGTTGAGGTGCTGTGCAGTGTGCCCCGCTTCCACGCCCGCCCAAGAAAAATCATCCATTTGTTGAGAACATAGCTACTACTTAGTACGTACATTGCAACATAGACAGCGGTAGAGTAGTGTACACCTATTGGCTACATATTCACGTCATGACCATAGTTCCAGAAGAAACAACAATAACGATAGCAAGCATGAGACCCATCACGGTCACGGACTCGGATGTAAAAAGGGGGATACCAAGTTGCATACAAATTCCCCTAAGTTCAATGTTTTGCGCTTTGGGCCATCTTAGCCCGAAGATGAAGGCCCAACGTTTTCAAGGCACACCACACGCTGTAGCACTTATGGCAGGTAGATTGCGACCGCCCCAAGGACGACCGGTTGCCTGTCGACGTCGAGGTGGACGTCGCACTCTGCCGACTGACACGAGGAGATGCACTGCCTCGTTTGGCCAGGTCGTTCCCAGACAGAGTGAGGACGTGGCTTCGCGACTCGTGCAACGTCGCAGACAAAGTTTCAGGTGCCAGCCTACCGGGAAGCACAGACGGGCATGGCGTAGCGTCACGCTGCTCGACGAGCAATTGCCCGAGGGAATACAACTATCGCAGGCTGGTCAATACAACGAACCCGCGGAGAAGCACAGAAGCATGACGTACAGTGTTTGCTTGGCTCTCAGAGCTCTCTCGCGAATGTCCCGCAGACCGCAATCTTGGATGCTGAGCTGGAAGGGGGGGCGTTGGAGGCCGATAGATCTGGACCAGCGCGCAAATGAACGGATCACTCAGAAATTTTCGTGCGAGATGAAGCAATGTGCGCCACACACCTTCGGCAGGGACTTTTGGCTCGCTCTTTTCGTGATCACCGGCGTCGCGTGTTGCTGTACCTGTGTGCGCTCAACGCACTCGATCGGTTCGGCGTCGGTGTGAGGCGGTGGTACAGGGAACTGCAGGCAGGGGCGCGAATGCAAACGGTGAGGAGCTGAACACTGATCGCATCGCGCGGCGGAGGGGACCGGCATGTCGAGCGAACACATACCGTGAGGTCTTGCTCGTCCACCAGCGTAATCGCAGACTCTCGTCGGCTGCCAGCGTGCGACAATGCATAGTCCTTGGGTGGTGGTGGTGGGGGCTCCGAGGAAACATAGACGGCCTGGCGTCTTTCCTTCTTGATCGCATGCTCCATAGTCTCGCGCCAGTCGGGAGGCAGCTACGTCAGGCGGGGTCAACTGTGGCGTCAAAGTACACGAGTAGCAGCGACTACATACCGGCGGCATTTCCTTATTAATGATAGTCAATGAGAGTCTTCGCAGTGCGCGAGCAGAGGTGGTTGGGGAGTCGGGGGAAAGTCTGGGGACGGGCTTGCGCCAACCCATGTTGCGGTGTCGAGGAGCCATTTCAAAATGACGTTTGCAGATGAAACAGTA